CCATCCATCCATCCATCTACTCATCCATCTTCCATTCACCCCTCATCCACCCTTCATCCATCCACCCGCTCACCCATCCATCCTTCATGCATTCATCCTCCATCCATCCATCCATTCATCTATCCATCATCCATCCATCCAGCCATCATTCACCATTGATCCATCCACTCATGCATTCATTCTCCATCCATCCATCCATCCATCCACTCATCCAGCCATCAACCAGCCAGCCATCATTCACCATTGACCCATCCACTCATGCATTCATTCTCCAACCATCCATCCATCCACTCATCCATCCGTCAACCAGCCAGCCATCATTCACCATTGATCCATCCACTCATGCATTCATTCTCCATCCATCCATCCATCCATCCATCCACTCATCCATCCGTCAACCAGCCAGCCATCATTCACCATTGATCCATCCACTCATGCATTCATTCTCCATCCATCCATTCACTCACTCTTCCTCCACACTCCATCCATCCATCCATCCTCCTTTCATCCATCCATCCATTCGCTCTCCATCTATCCATCCTGCCCCCTCTGGGCAAGTGAGTCAGACCTTTGACCACCTAGGGAGACACGGGATGAATATAGTGCTGACGGCACAATGCGACCTTCCCCTTAGTCATAAGGAAAATCCCCGAGATATTGAGCTCATCCTTCCAGAGGGTCTTCTGGTAGGTGGGCCGCTTCACTCCTGCTCTCCTGTCCTCAGGACGGGTATTCTTCTTCTTACTCTGCCTGTGGCCCTCCCTTGCCCTGAGGGAGTTCCTATCCCACCAAGGGACTCTCCACCATGAGTCAGTGCAGACCTACTCCCTCCAGGGAAATCCTAGCAGGACCTCGACTGGCCTGCAGCGCTTCTTGGGCAATGTCCCCAGCTCAATGTTCCCAGCAGTGAGCACTGCCCTTATACCACTTACGTGTCCTCCGGGAGTCCGTTACGATGCCATCTCTCTGCCTCTCTCCCCACTCTTCCTTTTCTATTCACCCACACCTGCGCCTGACAAAACAGTAATTCTCACAGGCTGCAGAGTCCACCCTGGCAAGGGTTCCGAGGCCTTCGGGTCTGCAGTGGGGCAGTGGCAGCTCTGGGGATGGCAACACCCAGCCTGTAGACACATGTTTTTACAGATTAGAGGATCACTTGGGGGGCCAGGGGGGACATCATTGATCCGAGATATCATTGGTCCTGGCCCTACGAAGGAAAGAAGTGTCTTCCATGACCGCACCCCTGTTGTCGGTCTGCTGCTGGCACCAGCACCTCCACAGGGCGCGTGAGCTGTCCCCACATGATCTGGGTGGAGGAGGCTTGTCTCTGCTCCTCCTGGGATCAGGTGGCAGCTGAGCTTTGAGGCTGGAATGGCCAGCATGGCTGCTCCCTGCTCAGCCCGGAGGCCCTGAGGGCCCCACGTGGATGCTGGGTCTTGGGCAGGGGCCTGGGGCGGGCTTTCCCTGCAGGAGATGCACGTGTTGCTGTAGTCCTCACTGGGTACCAGGACAGGCCTCCCGGGGAGGGAGGGGAGTCCCATGCCACGGAACTCACTGGGATCCTAGGGGCTTAAGGGACCAGGAGGGTGTGATATAAGAAGGGAAACGGCAGGTCCTTGCGGAGCAGGACATGCTGGGTTGAAGGAACATGGAAGCCCAGGTGCCCCGGAGCCCATGCAGTTGTGCCCAGAGCAGCTCTGACCACCAGCCCAGGTCTCCAGGAGCCAGGTCGGCACGGAAGGGACCTGAGAAAGCCTTACCCACTTTCACTGCAGAGCTGGCCCTGCTGACAGCAGGCCTAACCACAGGGCTGGCCCTGGTTCCACTCGCATATCTCAACCTGAGCCCTGCAGAGCCTGGTGGCCTCTCCTCCCTGATCCCTACCTCCCTCGGGCATTTCAGGGATAACTCCTCCCAACCCAGCCAGCCCCACCTCTCCCCCAGATGGTTTCTCCACAAACCAGCAGCGGCCATGCAGGGCCCCCCGAGCCTGCACCTCCACCCTCCCTCTGCCTCCGCTGGCCCCTGTCCGGCCCTGCCCCGTGACCGTCGGCCCCCACTCCTTACCCTGCACTTGGGTTGGATGCAGTCCCTCCCCTGGTGACCCCTTGGTGCTCCCGGAACTCTTAGCCTCCCCGTCCTGCTCCTGGGCCTTGACTGTGTGCTCTGCCCATCCCAGGGGCCAGGCACCCCCTTCCTTCCCTGTGTCCCCGGGTCTCCTCTTGGCCGTCAAGCCCTTTCCTACCTCCAGGCCTCTGCACGTTGTCCCCATTGTCAGAGACACGGGTGCCTTCCAGAGGGTCCCAGCCCCACCCCTGAGCCTCCTGCCTCCCTCTCGCCTCAGCCAGGTGCTGCAGCCCACATGAGCTCGTCACTTTGCCTGCTGTGCCCAGTGTCGCCTGCCTCGATGGCAGGGACAGTCTTTCATGGGGGCATCTAAAAACTCTGATCCCTGGTGTGGAGGAGGTGCCCTCCAGAGCTGGTGACTGAATGGTGGGGGAGCAGGAACACCCAGGCATCCCGCCGAGCACTTGCCAACCCAGGAGTGGGGTTGGGGGCCCACAGCCCCCAGTGCCCCAGCTCTTCCCCTGTGGCGAGGGGCTATGGACAGCTTTGCGTGGGAACAGCTCCTTGCCATGCCCCGGCTCCTACACACAGGAGCTCCTGCAGGCAGAGACTGTGTTCTGTGTTCTGTGTTCTGTTGGGACCTGCAAGGGTGGGGACGGCCCTGGGTGGTGAGCCTGAGTCAGGCTTCCTGGGAAGGTTCCTCAGGCAGGAGTCTGGATTCCCACCTTCCTTGCGAAAAGAAAACTCCAGCTTTGCTCTCAGGATAGCTGAGAGCACCTGACCCCACGCCAGCCTCCCCAGATCCCTGGAGCCCAGCAGACAGGGCCCTGTGGGAAGCTGTGCCGGGGAGTCCGAGGGAATCCTGACAGCCTGGCTGCTGGGGGGTTCGCTTAGCTCCCCTCAACAGGCTCGGCCCTCTGTTGGCCTCCAGGCAGCTCAAGGTGCGATGATGGGGAAGAAGCGGGGTGAGGCAACGGGAGCTTCTCCGCGGACCCCGGCTCCCTGCTGCTGGGTGTTTGGGGGCACTACGCCCTGCAGCAGTGCTTCTTCAGCACCGGCTCAGAAGACCAGTGGCAGGTTGGGTGGGAGCCATCAGGGTGTTTGGGGCACTCAGATGGGGCAGCGGCCCCAGAGGCCCCAGGAAGTGCTGGGCAGGCCAAGGGCACTGCTGGGAACCTTCTCTCTGGAGCAAGAGTCCAGTGGGAGGAGGCAGCCCTGGGCCAGGGAGACTGGGGGAACATCCTGCCAAGCTCACTGCGTGGAGGCCTGGCAGGTGTGGAGGGTGGAGGCTGAGGGCCGCAGAGAGGCTGGGCATCAGGCCTGCACACCTGCCTGCTCAGATTCCCGCAGCCGTCGAGGGAGGCTCCCAGCCGGCAGGATGGTTACTGACTCAGGTACCTGGGCTGTGGCAGCTGACTCTGCCAGGCAGGAGGCCTCTGCCACTCACCGGGCCTGGCAGCTTGTGCCCGTCACCTGGGGAAGGGAGACGAGGGATAAAGAAGTCGGGGAAAGGAAAAGACATTTCTTCCTGGCTTCCAAGCTTGAAAGGGCAGAACAGCGGGGCGAGGACTCCGGACCTGGAGAGAGGAGGCCCCTGGGCCAGGGAAGGGCCCCTCATGCCAAGGGAGCAGAGAAACCCTGAGAGCACCGTGGGTGCCAGGACCTGGGGGGCTTCCTGAGGAAGGGCCCTGCGTCTGTCCCCATAGCCACACGCTGGGCAGGGTGTGGCTCTGGCCTTGCCACCCTGGAACAGCCCTGGGAGGAGACGTGGCCTTGAGAGGCCTGTCCAGGGTGGTGGAAGAGTCCTGTGCCCCCCACCGGAGACAGAGGGCTGGGGGGTGTGGGGCACCCTGCAGGGCTGAGGGCCAAGTGCACAGGATCCCGGCCTCTGGTAGGGCTGCGTGGACAAGGGGCACCAGGGCTCAGAGGGCTCCCAGCAGACACCAGGCAACCCTGAACACCCTGACTGCACGTGTATCTGCCTTGATGGTCGAGCAGGGCTCAGGGTGGACTCAGGACCCCCAGGTAAAAAACCAGAAGCATTTCTCCCACACCTGGGCCTGAGCACCAAAAATTCTACCCTCCCCTCTGTAAAGCGCCCCGGGCCCACCTCTAATTGCCAGGGCCTTCCCTTTTCCCAGGTGCAGCTGGCTACGGATGAGGAACATGCCCTGGACCAGGCACCTCTGAGAGTGAGAACACACAGAACTGGCAGCTTTATTCTGAAGGGGCATTGCAGGGGTCCCTGCCTGGAGGGCCAGGATGAGCCCTCCACACCCAGTGAATGGACACCCCCAATTCCAGTGCCCGACACCGAGCCCCAAGGTGACTCTCCACCCCCACAGTGGGCAGCCAGGGGACCATTTAAAAGGCCAGTGTTCACCTGGATGGGGCTGAGAAGGTCCGTGGGGTGGGGACACTGACCAGCAGACTGAGCACCCAGTGAGAGGCCTGGAGACAGGTCCCTCGTCAGGGTACCTGCTGCAAGGGCGCCCTGGGCAGGTTTGTGATGGATGGAGAGAGGGAGGGAAGGAGGGATGGGGGGCTGGGCAGCTGGCGGGGAGGACAGAGTTGGAGGGATGCAAGCCCAAACCCCTGAGCCGTGTCCTTTCTTCCAGGGCCACTGTGGGCAGAAGAGGAGGCCGAGGGGTCTGACAGGCACAGAGCTCCAGCCCCTCAGCCCCTGGCCTCTGAAACAGTGGTAGAGGGTGCTGGAGAGAACTGGGGGGCTCTTCCCACTCATGGCTGGCCAGGGTTCCCAGGACCCCAGCAAAGGGCCGAGGGTCTCCTGCAGGTGTGGGTCTTGGAGCGGGCATCTTCTCTGGGGCACCCACCCGCGACTCCCTGAGGCAGGGGTGGAGCTCCCTCACCAGGGCCAGAGCCCTCGGGGGTGGGCTCCTTTACTCTCCCCAGGGCCAGGGAGGGGCTAGGTGTGGCCTGGGCAAGGAGGGAGGGACGTGGCCGCTGAGACAGGGACCCTGCTGCCTTGGGTGGGGTGTGTGGGAGCTGGCAAGGCTGCAGGGGCTGTGCGGAGAACTCCAGGCCAGGGCCTCAGCAGGGCGCCCGGAGCAGGGCCCACAGCAGGCTGGCTGCGGTGCTGGCCCACAGGGCCCCGGGGCTGCCCCCCAGGCCCGAGGCTGCACTGCGGTTGCACTGGCTGCCCTGGCAGCAGGACACGGAGAGGGCGCGGCCGTCGGAGGACACGGTGCTGTTGGGGCACGTCGGGGAGCAGGACTTCATGACCAGGATGCCGCCGGGACTGGCTGCGGAGAGAGGAGGAGCTCTGTGGGTGCCCTGCATCCTGGGCAAGCTGCAGGGCCCCGGGGAGCCTGAAGCCTGGGACCCATCGGCACCACGGGCACAGCCTGCACTGGGAGGCCCCGAGGAGGCCCCTGCCTGGGGGGCTGGGGGTGGCGGCTTGGAGGAGCGGGTTTCAGAGAGCCTTCTGCTGTGGGCGAGGTCCTTCCTCTGGCCCAAGGGGACGTGTCTCCCCTCAGACCAGGCTCCTCCATCACATCTGGGGCAACCCACTCCCTCCCCAGTGTCTCATTCCAGAATTTCAGGGGGCCCAGGTCCCGCTCTCGTCCAAGTCGGGAAATGGTGGTGGATGAGGATGGGGCAGGCTGCTCAGCTTCGTGGAAAACCTCATGTCCTGCACGGAGAGGGAGGCAGGGTCTGCGGGGCTCTGGGGGCAGGTGAGGGGGAGCAGGCAGGGTCTTCAGAGCCCTGGGGGCAGGTGAGGGGGAGCGGGCAGGGTCTGCGGGGCCCTGGGGGCAGGTGAGGGGGAATGGGCAGGGTCTTTGGGGGCCCTGCGGACAGGTGAGGGGGAGCGGGCAGGGTCTTTGGGGGCCCTGGGGAGCGGGTGAGGGGGAGCAGGCTCTTGGCCTCAGGCAGCACTGCTGTTGGTGTGAGACTCTCTGGCTTCTGCGCCCCCTCTGTGGGGGCCACTTAGAGCCCAGCAGCCTTGGGTAAAGGGGCGATGCTCCCCGAACCCGCACTGCTCAGAACATTCTGGAAGCTGTGACCCTGACCCAACAGGCCTCTTGTTGAAAGCTGGGCCAGAAACAGTGCAGTGGGGACGGAGGCTGCTCTCTGGCGAGGCTGGCTGGGTCTGCATCTCTGCTTCCTCATCTGCGTGGTTATGGGTTAAAGGAATGAATTCCCGTGCAGCAGTGGGGCTGCACGGCCAGTGCCAAGCACACAGCGGTCAGAGCTGCAAGTAGCTGGTAGCAGGGTTTAGCGCCATGTTCTGTCCAGCCCTTTCCTGGCCCCGGCAAGGCAGAGTCAGGGCTGCTGCCGGGTCTGGATGAGAGGAAGCTGCTCCTGGATTTCGTAGAGCATCAGAGGCGGCAGGGCTTCACCGGGGGACCCCGTGCCCCTTGCCCAGTGGTCAGTTCTTTAATTAAGTCCCATGGTCACTGAACCTACACTCCGTTCTTAAGGGAGGAGCTTCGTGTTTATGGGTAAAATGGAGCAGAGGCAGCGTCAGCTGGCGCCGTCTCTGAGTAATCGCTGGGGAGCCCTGGGGCGGGCCGAGCCACCCGTCACTGGCCAGATGGTTTGGAGAGAGAAGGCCCCCGGCTCCAGGCAGAGTGAAGCCACGTCAGAGCGTGGGCCCTGGGCTCCCACTTCCTCGCACGCGAAATGGGGACATTGAGCTGGGCTGCTGGGGAGCGACTCAGAAGTCAGACCCAGCTACTCGGGGCCTGGGCTCTGCAGGGTGGGTAGTGGCACCCGGTACTGTTGCACTCAGGGGCCCTTCCCCTTTTGCCCCAGGACCCTCAGGGGGCCAGGCAGTCCCGCTCCTCCGCCAGCACAGAGTCACCAGAGTCACTGGCTGAAGTCACTGTGGTGGGTGCGGAGGCACAGGGTATGTTCCTCTGCCCACCCCTGCCTGGACGTGTGTCTGCCAGAGGCCTTCAGACCCTGATACGTGCTCAGGATGCCTTCTGTCCCTGGTGGCCTCCCGGCTCCCCACCCCATATGTCAGTTCTGCCATCATCCCTGCCATCCCTACCATCCCTGGCAGAACTGACATATGGGGTGGGGAGCCGGGAGGGCAGCATGTTACCCCGTGTCAGGCTTGGCTGTGACTCCTGAGGGCCTTGGAGGACGGGCCCTGGGGATCTCCATCAGGAAGTGCTGCCCAGCCAGGCAGACAGATGGACAGACAGAAGCAGGCACAGTGAGGGGCCAGCTGGGGGGGGCAGGGGGGAGACAGCACCCTGGGGAGTACAGGAGGAGCACGGAGGGCGCACCCTGCCTCTGTGCAAGCCTCAGGTAAGAACTGAGGCTTCTAGCAAGGGGCGCCCCAGGGAGAAGAGTACCCGGCCCTTCGCCGGCTGGCTTTGCCTGCTGCCTGGTGGGCTATTGGTTCCTGACCACCCCCCGCAGCCGGCCCTTCATGGGGTGAGGCTCCAGCCTCCCTGCTCCTGCCTGGTGCCCACTGCAGTGTGGGGCCCCCATGAGGCGCGTGGTGGGCAGCTGTCGGGGCTGGAGGCGAGAGAAACTTCTCACCATGCCACCCCCTGCGTCAGGTGTGGCCAGAGTGGGGTGGAGGTGTCCCCGAGCCTTTCAGAACGACAGACAGTGTCTCTGGGCCAGGCTGTGCACCTTCGCACCCCAGGCAGGACGCTGTGTGTCCCTGTAAAATGGGTGGCTCCAAGTGCAACATGGAGGGGACTTTGTCATGACTGGGATCTGTAGGAAACTGGCCCAGAGGATGGGTCCCCAGGGCCATGCAGGGAGGCTGCCTAACAGCCCTGCCTGGCACAGAACAGGGAGCCTGGGGGAGCCGCACAAGAACTACACAGCCGGCGTTTATGGGCTAGAGACCCCACAGACATGATCCTGATGGCTACAGAGACCGCCAGCAGGGAGATCCCTCATCCCCTTCCCAGACATGGACCCGAGGCTCAGGGACGATTCCTCCAGGATCTCCCAGGTCATATGTGGCCGTCCTGGGTCTGAGCCCAGCAGTCTGCCCCTCCACCATCTCCCTGGCCTCTATCCTTCTCAGGGGAAGGACCTTCCTCAGCTCAGGGTCACCCTGCTGGCCCCACTGCCCCTTCCCAGTTTCACACTCTCAGGGACCCCCACCCCACTGCCCCTCCCAGCTTCACACTCTCAGGGTCCCCCCACCCCACTGCCCTTCCCAGCTTCACACTCTCAGGGTCCCCCCACCCCACTGCCCCTCCCAGCTTCACACCCTCAGGGTCCCCCCACCCCACTGCCCTTTCCCAACTTCACACTCTCAGG